ACGGAAATATAATGGTTAATGAAGTAATAGGCCGAAGAAGATAATTCAGCGAGTTATTTCACTGGCCTTCTTCAAGCAATGGAAGTGGCAGTTTTCGAGTGGTCATGTATAGCAGGTAGCTTGTTTAGGGCCAAGAGGCAAAAGAAAGTTTGTCCGTTTAGGTTTGTTATCTTTACACTTTCATGATGAGGCCATTCTGGTACCTTTCTATTCATGAAATTAACCGCGAAACGGAGATCTCTATTTTAATGTTGTTACTCAGGAGTGCCTCCTTTAAAAAAATTCGACAGCAGCTATGTGGTCAGCATAGTATGCGGTTTCCTGTTTCCTTCTCACAGAGTTACACTCATTTACGAACCAGGAAAGGAAGAATGGCGAATGATCTGACCGAGGCTTGAACTTGGGACCTCTCTATTCTGAGCCACAGGCTCTACCGACTGAACAAACCTGCCCAAGAGCCGAGAAGCGATAGCCGTATCGGTTATAAATTTGATAAATTTATAAATGGTAAGTTTTGGTAGGTTTTATCAAACGACAGGACAGAAATTATAATTTGTCTCTCAAAAACGGATAATTAAATCGTAGCGTGAATAAGCTGAACATAAATGCGGTACCTTTGATCTTTTCGAATTCGAATATCTTTTTCGTGTACTCGTGTAGTTGCTCAGGTTTTAGGTTCCTGGACGCGTAGTCCTCAGTAGTCTGCACCTTCACCTCAGGCATCTTGAACGTCATCGCCAGTTTCATCTTGATATCGTCGACGTTGGTGGTGGATGCTGAGTCAACAGCACTGGGGTTTGTGAGGGTGTCAGCGGCTGTTGTGGCTTCATTGGTGGCTCGTAGTTTCTGCTGGTCCAATTCCTTCATGCGTTTTTGATGCAGGCACGGGATCGATGCTAGAGGCACGTCGTGGTTGCGGACGCTTCCCGGTCCGATAAAGTACGGCCGAGACAGAGTGCACACACGCGTCTCTTTGTGCAGGTAGACCGGGATGCCGCTGTTATGCGTCACGTCGATCCAGCCGTCAGGTAGTACCTCAAAGTACTCGGTGCCGCGGTTGCGCAATACGATCTTCTCACGGATATGCGCCGGCCGCAGTATCTCACCGTTCAGCGACATTACCGAAGCTCCATCACCTTCCTCATTACCTTCGGTGCCGCCGATGCCTAAGAGTTTTAGTTCGTCATCTTTAAGCTGGTTGTCGGTAGTTTCCTTGACCGATTCGCCGTGGTCATTCTGCAGGCTTTCATCTAGCATCTGGTCGATCTCCTCGTTGTTCCTGTCCGTCTCACAGCAAGACGATGTCTGCTGCTGCGGACGATCGATGGATGATCTGCGCACCGTTCCATAACCACGGCCTTTATCCCTATCGCAACCGCCTTCTGAATTGGCCAGAATTTCGCCTAGTTCGCGCAGTGCGCTCATACCCTGCTTATAGTCGGACGATGTGTCACCCCCGGAGTTGATAAGTCCCTCAGATGAGGTATCGTTGTCGGCGTCATGACTAGAAATGGTTTGAGAAAATTCTCCCGGCATATTCGACCCAAAACAGCTTCCATCGTCTGCTCCATCGGCACCGGAAAACCTATTCAGTAGTGGTAACCGGTCGTCTTCCAAGTTCAAGATCTCTGGCACGCCTTTCTTTGAATGAGATCCATCCCTGTCAAACAGACTGATCACCCCGCTAGTGACGTCATCTTCCGTATGTGACGACGATAAGAAACGGTAATCTTTAGAAGACGACCGGAGGTCATCCGCCTCCCAGCTGGTCGTCTTGCAGTTAACCTCATCCCCAAAAGCCAGATCCAAAGGACAACCCGCGAACGGATCACAGTCGTTTCCCAGATCTGTCTTGCAGCGCTTCGTTGCCGGCATATCGTCGTCTCCATCGACATCAAACGTGATCTGTCGACGGTCGTCGTCAACACCCAACTTCGACATAAAAGATGCCTCGATCGTCTTCTGTTGCTGGAAGGATTCAATGAATTCTGAGTACTGGTCCTCACCATCCACGAAGCTGTTTGGCTGCTGCTGATGATGGTGAATGGTCAGATGGTCGCCTCCAGCATCGTCACTCTCGGCCGAAAGCATGGCGATCAACTCCCCGCGTTCTTTAAGAAGTTCTTCAATAGATTTCACCTCCAGAGAATCGTTTATTCCTTCATTGACCTCACTGGAAGCCATCGATCGTTCGAAGTCGCCGCTGCTCCGCGAACATTAGTTTTACATGCACCGCGGTTTGTCGTCGCGGTTCACGGTCGTCATCTAAATCCACATCACAGTTTCTAGACAAGATGCGAACAAACGTATAGAGCAAAAGCCAGAATAATCAATGATCGCTTTGCAACGTCACCTACAAACAAAATTGCTCGTGAACGCATTCATCAACCTAACCTGCAGTATTGCATATTAACTGCTGAAAACAGTTGAACGCTTTTAGTTTATTTTGACTTTTATTACATGAAAAAATACTTAGTCTTACCTTTAAAGGCTAAAAAGTTGTAATGAGTTACGGCAGCAGATTTGACTTATTTATAATTGCCAACAAAACGTTATTGCTGTACAGAGCAATTTACGTAATCTCCAAAAAGGGGACAATATGCCGCCCAGTTTGACCTTGTTACAGCTAATAGAAACTCTTCATAAAATTCTTTCTATCGTAAGGTGATGAAATAGTTGCTCCGAAGACTGAAGCACAATACAAAAAGCACATTATGAAAGAATTTAATGACTAGTATAATTATAAACTTTGCTTCTTAAATCACACAACTCAGGAACAGTAATAAAAGTCAGATCTCACACAGAGAGTGAAGGAATTCTTCGAACAAATAAATTTGTCAAAAAAGTTTTACCTAAACCACAAGATTTTTTAAAGTCTATCACATGCTGGAAGGCTACCCAGTATGATCAGGATTTTTCTTAACTATCATTAATATAAACTGCTTACATCCATTATACACACATAATACGTAAATTACATGTGTTACCGTGCAGCGTCCACAAAATGAGGCAGAAAACGGCGGAAATGAAACAGCTGTGTCCGAGCTTACCGAGAAAACTTCCAAGTGATTGAATTCTCTCAGAGCCATCATCTGGAACCCGATTCTGGAAGATGTGGTGAAGGGCAAATAGAATTTCTGTCTAAAACACTTGGCAAACGTCGACCAAAACCGTTTGCCAAGATCAAAAGAAATGGAACGCAGAAATAAGAATGACCCCTAGTCGTTTGCATGCAATTCGAGTCGGACCACACTACATGATCGATTAACTTTAGCAAATGACTGGATACCCAATGGGTAGAATCACCCAATTGGAACACCTCAGATCAAATGAGACGATGAACTTAAAGAACGATATGGATTCTTTTCGTGACAAACAACACAAGACAACGAACGTGAGTATCGAGAAAAAGCAATAACGATCTCCATGGGGGAGAGGGGGAAGGCAATCTCCCAAAGAATGGGCAAATCAGTTGTTGTTGTTACGGTCCAGGGCAAAAATTCGCTAGTGTCGATATGAACTGAAATTATTTCGAAATTCAGTCCCGATCAAGAATTTGTGTTTTTACCAATCGCCACATATACATGTCATTGTATAGTTTCATGTAGGAGGCACTAGATATGTATATGCATAGCAATAATCCATTGAAATGTATCCGCTGAACGGGAATCAATTTCAGTCTACAGTGGCATGGACAAGTTATCGCTCTGGATCATAAAACAAACTATGCAACATTATGTTATCATTAAAACATACCATACACTAACTAATACTGCATTACATAAGTCAGTTTATATTTGCATATATAACGTAAATACTACAAAACACGCAGTGTATAAATGAAAACAATAACTGGTGATCTCCACTATACTAAAACCATCACTAAGCTAGCGATAACGAAAATGACGAACGTTAAGCAGCTAACAGTAGTGTTATACAGTTATCGCCACTACCATCACAGAAAATACATAAATCAGGCCAATAATATAAAGCAGTATGCGGACAATAGAGAAACCAGTTCGAAAGGATCGAGAAAATTACAGTATATAGAATAACTGGTATTTATGAACGGCACATGTATAAACACAATTATTCATATTATGTAGATTAAAACCAAACTACACTAGTGCCTTAACGAATATGCTTACAAAAAAACTGCATTCCAACGAGGACATAGGTGAAACGCTACACTCAATATACCCTAAAATTCGACTAAACTATAGCAAAAAAAACACCATAAGGAAAATACACAAATCCGGAGCTGCCGGTCTTAAGCACTGTAAACAATGGACGAGCGTTGCAGACTGCGGCGAAGTCTTCGTTAAAAGTTCGCCACCTGCCACTCATGGTATTGACGCCATCGAAAATTATACCGGTTCGGTCGTCGCCCGGGTTACCAAAGGCACTGCAGGCCGTTGGGCGACTGAGGCAGATTGCGAAAAGTCGGCGATCAGAACCTGCTCTTTGCTCTCTGCCAGCCAGGGGCGTAGCAGCACAACAACGTCAGACGAAGACCGACGGAACAAACACGAAGATACCAGTCAGCAACGGAGTCGCTACCCGTTCTGAACGGAGGAGGCAGACAGCGCGAAGCCATTATAACACGACAGAAAAGACTCTACGAGAACGACACCACCAATAGGAGCTTAAAATCGGAAATTGGAACATATCCTCACTCAAAGGAAAAGAACATTTGACGAGGTCACGAAGTACCAACTCGACATTGCTGGACTCTCGTCAACAAAACGCCCAGGCTCTGGACTCCTGAACCTC